GACATCAGGCTGCAGCCCTATCCCACAGTTATCATGGTTGCTCAGGTTTTCCATCACTCTGCTCCTAGGGTTTGTTTAAGTTAATTTTCTAATCAGTCAATCTGTCTGGGGCGGGGGTCTCAGGTGTTCAGATTTTTTTTCCTCCAGCTCCTCAGGGTTAGTGTAATGCTAAACTATCTTTGATTTCTTCCAAAGTAATGCTTATACTGCATCCAAAGTAGATATTTCATTTTTTTTTTATGATGGAGATTAAGATATAGACCGAAATGAAAAGACACATAGACCTTGCTAAAGTCATTGCCCCATGTCTGTTTAGTAAAATAAGAGGAAAATGTTGCCTTGTATTTCCATAAAGGATTTTTTTATTCTTTCCTTTTATATTTTTGCGTTTTTAGTTCACATTGTTTTAAATGTAGTTCTCTTTGTGTAATTTGTGTTCATATGAGTCCATATGAGGCAACTCAAAATTTCAGGGGTTTTGACAAAAGCAAAACTGGCATAACCAGGTAAGAGTGCACTAGATTGGTGCTTTTAAATCCAGTGGTACAAACTTTTCTTCGGAGGGAGCATGACCCTGAACCCCAGAGGGATTTAATTCTTCACCTTTTTTTAGCACTGAAATGTTTTCACCGTTGCTCTTTGAGCAAGCTGTATGTTATATTGTCTGTACATTCCTGTTGGCAATTATTTCAATAATTCATTTAATCCCACCAATCTTTTCAGCCCCAAATGTGTTTTAATGAGATGTCAGATAATGTGTGTGAGTGGCCTAATTTTCCTCCGTGGAGCATAGAGTAGCCATTTATGCTTACTGTGGTCGGCTTTTTTTTTTTTTTTTGTTAATTAAAAGAAAGAGAAAAATATTACCCATTTGTTAGAATTTGAAATTGCAAAAAAAAAAGTTGATTGGCAGAACACCAGCGATCACTTTCACTCCGGTATGCTTGCTAAGCTAACATTAAACATTAGCCGCTACCTAAGCAGAAGGTTTAACCGTCTACCTTCCTTTCCTATCCACAGGCCCTGAAAGATCTTGGTCTTCCAACAGGCCTGGAGTCCAAGTCAGAGTCGAGTGGCGATTCTGATTCGCAAAAAGCCGACACAGCTGGACCCTCTACTACCGCAGAGGAGGTGAAGGCTTTGTTTTATCCCTCTTTTGAGAAACATATACAATGCCTGAAGAGATCAGAACTGTTTGGTTTTATTTTTCAGTTATATTCATCTTTTAACAGGTTGGTCAGGGTCCCCTTCTAACTAAGAATGGGAAGAATCCTGTGATGGAGCTCAATGAGAAGCGCCGCAGCCTGAAGTATGTGGTGCTTAAAGAAACTGGGAGGTCCAGCGCCAAGTCCTTCGTCATGCAGGTGAGTCAGCAGATATGTCTGTACACTGTAAGTCTCAATATCTGTTTATATTATAAAGTTTTCTAAACAGCGATTCAACAAAGGGTGCTTGGCTGGAATTAGACACAACCACCTGATTAAAAAAATAGATGAATTGAAAAATGAATCTTGATACCAAGAGTATGATGGTTTTCTTTCTTTTAAATAAAGCTGAATCTGATTTTAAAGCAATTAAAGCATAACCTGAGAAATTAATCAAAACAAAGAAAGCCAAGTGGAAAATTTAGACTAAGTTTAAAGGTGTTTCTTGGTTGAAAGATTGGGCTGGGTGGCCATCTTTACAGAATAAAGCTGCAGTTTATGTTTACATCAGACTTTAGGTCCCTTAATAAAATACAACATTTTTACAGGTCATATTCTCAACAGTGAAATGGCACAGGTTAAAGAACGCTCTTTCCTCTCCTGTGTCTCAGGTGGAAGTTGACGGGCAGAAGTTTCAAGGAACAGGCTCCAATAAAAAGGAAGCGAAGGCTCATGCTGCCCTCGCTGCTCTGGAAAAGTTATTCCCAGACGATGACGGAGCTTCAACCAGCAACCGAATGCCAGCAAAGAAGAAGGTCGTATACACCGACATGGTAACTTAAAAAGTTTTTCCTTCTCTTTTGTATTGACAGACCACTTTCATTTAAACCATTTCTAATTTAATGCTAAACAGCACATCCCAGGATTTGGCACAATCCGTGGTATTCCGTCAGACACCGGATCGCGTGGCTGGGGTCCTAACAGAGGGGGCCACGGCAGGGGCCGGGGACGAGGCCAGGGCCAGCCTTTTGCAGCAGGAGCCAGTTATAACAAAAGTAGGTTTTCCACTGATTAGATATGTAACAAGGAGCTTCTCTTTAAGGAAACCTACTGAAATGCTTTTTAATTTTTATTATAGCCAACTACAGCTATGAGAGCAGCTCTGGCACAGGCTACCGTAAGTATTTAAACACCCTGTATTATTACCCCATTTACACTACCCTTGAAAAACCGTGCTGAGACCGCTCCGAGCTCAGTAACTGAGATAACTTATCGTGTGTAAATGGAAAGCAAACTGGACTAAACCGAGTTAGACACAACCGAACTGAGCTAACTGCAAACCAGTTCCAGAGGTGGGCTCAGCTCGGTTTTTCCCCTGGCTCGGGTCTCTGATAACAAGAGCGCATGAGCAGAATGCGTCATCTCCGTCTGACTGCACATCCCGATTCACACTCCATTCCAGTAGTTGGCGGTAATGCCCCTCCGGAAGTTGCTTGCCAACCAACACAAAACAGAAGAACAACAACTATAAACAACTATTAACATCCACGAAAGGTTGCCGTCTTTGCCTGGCCCTTCGCAAACACCAAAGCACAGCAATAATAATCGAGCATAACTTTCTGAATGTGACGGGCACCGCCATTTTGATTTGTTTGATTCCCTCTTTCTTCGTCTTCTTCTTCTTGTGTTTTACGGTGGTTGGCAAACAACTTTTGATGCATTACCGCCACCAACTGCTTGATTTCCTCCTTCAATACTGGCAGTAATACCGCAGATCGTCACTAGGAGGAGAGGAACCAAGACAGCGTGATGTGTAAACGGTCGCCAGAAACGAGCTCGGCCTGGTTAACTGATCCGAGCTCGGACGGTCACGGCATGGCTCGGTTTTTCAAGGGTAGTGTAAATGGGGTATATATGTGGCCTTAAGGTTAGATTAAGATGTAGAAGAAGCAGAACAGCTCAATTAATCATCTCTGGATGTGTGAAATCCTGCACCGGTGATTTCCTTGATTTTTTTTATTTTTCACTGTTTTTCAGATAAACTGTACAGTCCTGCCTGCAGCGCAAGTCAAAACACAGACATGGCAGGATTGGACGGCACCGGCTACGGTACCTTTTACCCAGAAAGCAGCTCCACCTACTCCTCCCCACCAGCATCCAACTTCAGCAGCACAAAGGGACAGAGCTACCACTCCATGCCTCCTCCTGTTGACCAGCAGAGCCCATACAGCTATGGGTACGGAGAGGAAAAGAAGAAAATGCTGACCCAAAGCACTCCTGTGGGTCAGGGAGGAAACTCCTCTGGCTACAGCACAGCCTATCCCAGTTCTGTTACAGGAGGACATTCATACAATAACTATGGTAACAGCCAGCTGAGGTTTAAATGCTCATTTAAAGTTGAAACGCTGTTAGAGGAGGTTGAATAATGTCTTGATGGTCTACTCTCTACACAGGTTGGGGAAACCAGCAAGGATTCGGCACAAACCAGAACTATGGAGGCCAGAACCAGGGCTCTTACTCTGGATACGACATGTATTACTGAAGTGATGATAACGCTAAAAAGTCTGGCTACAGCGAAGATAATCCAGAGAAAACAGTTGTGATATTCTAATTCTGTTTCCTTTTATCACTCTACATGTGCTTTTTTTTTATTTTTTTTTTATAGATGGTTGTAAAAATGTTCCTTTTGTTTGTATGTTTAACTCATCAAATAGAAACTGCTTTTGTTCTAGTTCATTAGGTTGTGATTCTGATTTAAAAGTTTGATGGCTTGAATAAAGACGCTCTTACCTTGTTCTAGGAAACCATTGTGTGTTTATTAACTTGACGTCAGTCTTCATACCCATCTTTTCCTTTTAGACATGTTTCATCCACATCCTTTCTCTTTCCATCCATTGCATTTTTTCCCATTTATTTTAATTTCTCCATCATCTTTCATCCACTTTCTGTCTCTCATCCTATCCCTCTCTCCATCTGTTAAGCTTCCATTTTGTCATTATTCAACTGTCTAAATTTTCCTCCATTAAACCAGAAAATATTTTCTATAATCCTTAGAAATATATTGTTCTTAGAAAAGTGGGAATTTAGTTCTTAAACATGAAAGCTAAACATATTACTAAGAATCCCTTAGAGGCTTGACTTTGGTTTTCCAATGCAATCGGATGACGCTTAAGGAATTTAACAAGTGAATTTTTGCACTTGTTTTTAAAATGATTTAAGGTGCAATCCATTTTCTATTTTAAAGACATTTCAACCATCAAGATTGTACAACATGATCCATAAAAAGAAAAATCGGGAAGACAAGCTGGAGCTGAAAAAGGCAGGAAAAAGAGTGATTAATGTTGAAGTGTTGGAAGTGGAGTCTAGACACGAGCTATATTAACCACAGGATCACGAGTGGCGCTGATGACCGGCTGGACCCAGCACTGAGTCAGGCCATGAACGAGGATCATGCCTCTGCAGCATGGCCTCTCCTCCAGGAGCGCTGATAGATAAATAGGAGAAGAAAGGGGGAGCGGTGTGAGAACACAGTCAGCAAGAGTCCATCTCTTCTTTTATCAGCTGTGAGTGTTTTCTATTTTGCTGTTTCTCTTTTCTCTCAACTTCATGGATATTCTTTATTTTATTCGTGGCTTCTGTTTCTTCCAAGGCGTATAGGTGTTATTTTAAATAGTTTTGATTAGATTTCTTTTTTTTCTTTGAAATGTGTTGAATCAGTAAACTGACCTCTGAGCCACTCAGCCACATATACATGGCCACATTGATTGGCCTCTATTACCTCCAGCTGGGGTGTGACAGCTCCAAGCTGAACCAATCACACTCAGCACACTGGTGTTGTCTAACAGTCTGAAGGTAATGAAACAGGAAGCATGGTGAGCTGAGACTTGTAAAACCTTGCTCAGCCTGTTCTTCCTTGTTTTTATTTTGGTCACATGGGTGCAAAGCTTCAGATGAGACTTTTGGTGCGCTTCTTGTTTTGCTTAATTAAGGTTGAAGAACTCTAAAATTGCCTGTTTTCTTTTTGAAGATGGCATACGCTCTTTTAGCAGTCTTATCTGCTGCTATCAGTGTGACTTACTGCTACGCCGCTGCTTTTCAAGACCTGGGGGGGAATGGCAGTAAGTATTTACTCTCACCCTCTGTCTCTGCAGTTTTATTGGTGTTCAACTAAAGATCTGTGTCTTTGTTTTACTCCCTTCCAGGAAGCAGGACATCCATTAAGTTTCTGGCTGTAGGGGACTGGGGTGGATTGCCTTACCCGCCGTATATCACTGCTGTACAGAAGACCACAGCTCAGGAAATGAGCAAAGTTGCAGAGCGGATGGGAGCTGATTTTGTCCTGGCTCTCGGTGATAACTTCTACTTCAAAGGCGTAGACAGTGTGGATTCCCCTCGGTTTCAGGTCAGTTGAGTGTCTCCGGTACAAGACCATGCCTTTTTCTGCAAGATCAAACTTTCTCATCACAATCTCCCACTAAAAGGAAACCTTTGAGTCTGTCTACACTGCAAAGTCCCTCAGAGTCCCTTGGTATGTTCTGGCCGGTAACCATGACCATGCAGGGAACGTCAAAGCTCAGATCGAGTACTCTCAAAGGTCTGACAGATGGTAAGGAACTGGCAGGTAACTCTAAATACCATTGAAATATGAGTCACATAGAAAAACCCACTATTTGAAATTGTCAGTCAAATGGAGGACAGCGACGGTACTGTAGCAAGGTTGTTGACTCCATCCACACAAAGTTAGTCATTACAGAGGTAGGGCTCTCCAGTGTGCTGTTTGCAGGCATAATAATGGAACGATAGGTTAAAGAGAAATGTGAACAAACAACTGCAGCCTTGTGAGACTTTGGGTGGGTAATCACAAGGAGTGCACTGGGGCTTATGTCAGCTTCCATAGACACTGCACTGATGTGGACTAAAACTGTAGAATTGCTTGTTTTACTCCACTCCTGAACCAGAAACAATTTCAGAGTTGACTAGGGTGAAACGGAGGTAACACTGAATGATTTTTTTTAATTTTCTACTCTTAGATTTGACCATTGACTCCCATTCTGACCAAATCTGATCCACACTAGTTCAGGAAATTGATCCCAAAGTTTGCTTGTTTATCCTTTAAGCTGTCACACTAGGCAGAGGCTACGTTTGATTATATTGATTAGTTGGATCTTTTTCATCATCTGATGTTATTCACTAAGTCCCATTCTGCTGCCGTCAGAGAACTAGAGATAAGTTGTTCACCTGAGTAACTTCTCTTTGAGGGTAATGTACGTGTTGGAGTAGTTTGATTGCACAATTTTCCTATAATCCTATTTCTTATTAAGAAATAGGATTTTAAAGAAAAGGTACTTTTTTTATTGAGTAATATGTTGGCTACTCAACTAGGATAGGATGAACTGGTACATTTTAACGATCGATGCATCCACACAACTTATGAAGAGAGCCTTCCTGTGTGTATATGCAATCTTCCTCTTTTCAAGATATTTCCCCCACCCCCCAGTCTTCTTAGCTTATTTGTGTCATTTTGTAAACTTGTTAAGATGTTTCACTCCAACTGTTTTTAAGAAATAACCATGTCTACATTCAATCCACAGGTTGGATGTAGACATTCAACTTTGGGAGAGAGTGCGTTTTAACACTTTTTTTTTTTTTTACATTTGTTTAGCTAGCTATTAGCTGAACCTTGTACTCCTTGGTTCATCCTATTGATGTAGTTTTTGGGGGGCTGAGGGCGTTTTTTGTTGTTGTTGTTTTTTCCTCCCATTTACCTTATGCCTGGATTCTGGCATCTGAACACCCAGCATGATTAGCAGTCGTCCCCATACTGTGAATTACTGAATCATTCATTTGCTTGTAGGACGATGCAGTTTCCAAAAGGTATTTGGAAGTAGAGAAGTGAAAATATAAAACTTATTGTTTCCTTTTTCTCAGGAAGTTTCCTTCTTATTACTACGAGCTGAACTTCCGCATCCCCAACACAGGAAAGACCCTGACTATCATCATGCTCGACACCGTGATGCTCTGTGGAAACTCGGACGACTTCATGGATGAGAAGCCCAGAGGGCCGCTGAATTCAATGGATGCCAACCGTCAGCTGGTCTGGCTGCAGGAGAGGCTTGCTCGGTCCAAGGCGGACTTCCTGTTGGTGGCGGGTCACTATCCAGTTTGGTCCGTGTCTGAGCACGGCCCCACGGAGTGTCTACTGCAGAGGGTTCACCCTCTTCTTATTAAGCACAATGTGACGGCCTACCTGTGTGGCCATGACCACAACCTGCAGGTCAGCTCCACAACATTTCCTCTTCTGTGCTTTTACCCCAATGTTGTTCAATGATTTATATTGAACTTATTTCTCTATCTGCAGTACCTGGAAGAGTCTGGTGTGGGTTACGTAGTGAGCGGCGCTGGAAACTTCTTGGATCCAGATGTCCGCCACTGGAACCACGTCCCAAAGGGCTCTCTGAAGTTTTTCACTGGTCAGGCCTCGACTCTTGGGGGCTTTGTTCATGCAGAGGTCACAAAGAGCAAGCTGATCCTAACCTTCTTCCAGGCTAAAGGCACGTCTCTGTACCGTACTGTCCTTTCCCAGAGGGAGTTCAAATAGGTGTTCAGCCGAGATTATCGTTTATCCTGAGGATTCATCTACAGTATCAAATCAGAGAAGGTTGATCCTACTTTTAACTTTTCCTCAAAATTTTCAGTGCTTTAATTTTTTTTTAAAAGAAATCAATGTTTTATCTGAATTTGTTGTAAGCTAAAATAAATTTGTTTTGTACAGTGTGGTCTTGCTTTCTTTGGCAGTTTCCAAAGATTGTATTTTCCAGAGCTTCGTGGGGTTTGGTAAAAATGACAGATGCTAGTAGAAATCTTTATAGCTTGTGCTTTTCTTTTAGCTGCTCTGTGTGGGTGTGCACCTGAGTGAGGACCACTTTTCATATCCTCTGCAGCTAAGTGATGACATTTTCTGTGGTTTTGTTAAACCAAAAGTCTAAAACTAGGAGGTAAGGGACCGATGCAAAACTGGACTGGCCAAACCAAATTGCATTTTATTTTGCAAACATTTTTTCATCCTCACTTTTTTTTTTCCCTCCCTTGTGTTTTTATTTACTTCCTGTCTGTCCTTCCTTGTTCCTCTGTTTCTTCCTCTTTCTTCAGTCTTCTGAAGAACTCCTTCCCCATATTTTCCATCTTCCACAGGTCTTGTGGCAAACTAAATGGGGCTAGCTTTGGAGTTTTTTTCAAAGCTGAGGATCTCTGCAGGTCCCCCAGAGTTAGCCTGGTATTTTTACCCATTTTTCTGTTTTACGATCTTCTTGCCCTACATGTATATTTAAATGGCAATTGTGTCTTGGGTTGTCTCTAAATATGCCGTATTCTCTGCATTTTTTAGATGGTGTATTGAACGAGGCTCTGTCAGATGCTTTTATTTTGGGTCACTGTTTCAGAAAAGGTTTTAAACTGCTCTACAATTTTCCAGTGTGTTCCATATGATCCTGTTTCTGCTCACTCTTCTCTAATAAACCTGTAAGGGCTTCACAGAACATTTGCATTCATTATATTAAAATGACCCGGCTGAACCGCACTGATTAATATCTGCGTACATCTGGTTGCATGTCAGGTTATTAAGGGGCATTGTGGTAAAGGAGGCCGAGTGCAGAAGCCCTGTGTGCAAACATACCTGAGGGTTTAAATGCTGAGAGGCTGATGCTGCAGGACTCTTTGGGACAAGAGTTTGACTGTCAGCTCTTTTTCTGTCCCAGAGAACAGCCTGGCCTGCCAACAGAGGATTAGCCTGAATGACTGCAGGTTGGCAGCTTCCAGGTCCATGAAATGCTGAGCCAGCCGGTGACTGTTAACCTGGGATTGGAGGCAAAAAAAAAAAAGAAATGTGTTCTGTTCATTCTTTCCTCATCAGTGTTTAAGCGTTTTTTTTTTTTTTATGTGCTTTAATCTTCATTTTCACGTTAGATTAGTTTATAGTGTCTGTTTTTCCCCTTGATAAACAATCTTGTAGTTCTTCCCTAATATCAAAAATTGTGATGTTTTATTTGAAGAGTTTTTTTTCTGCTCCAAGTATCCTGTGGACTGAGGTAACTGTCTGTAGATCCAATTAGGATGAATTTCAGCCTGTTAGTGTAATTCAGTTGTCAGAGGATGTTAGACAGGTGAGGGTTGCTTAACCCTGACTTATATAAATATCCCGCAGACCTGAAGAAAACCTGTATCAGGTACTGCAAACTAGAGGATCAAGATCATGATGTTTCACATGAGGCCCTCAGCAGATGCTCACCATCATTTCTCTTTACCTTTAACATTTCTGACCGTAGCATGTCTGAATTGTTTACAAAAACCAGCTGTATTTACCACCAGCTACATGTGTAGAAGTATGACGATAAAGCTAAGTTAACCCCTTAAACAATGTTAATAATCTGCATGAACTAAGTCCAGGTTTCAGTCATGTTCAAACTAAACTCTCGATGCATTACAGTATAAGGTGAACCTAAAAAAAAGCAATAAATACTTTGCGTCCACAAATGGAGCGGAATAGACAGAATTTATTAATATCACTGTTTATTCAATGTGTAATAATCCTATTCAGTGTACTCATGGCTAAATTAACAAATATTGATTAGATTAATTGATAAAACATTAAAATAGTCCTTTATTTTAGTGTAATGTAACATCATTGGTTTTATTTGTTAGCTGGTGGACATGGGCCTATTGTGTTGTACTAATACTAACAACACAACCCATGGGATGGCCTGACCTGCTGACTAGAAACCTGTTTAGTGAACACCTGAGCCACTCCCCAACTGCGAAGCACTCTTGGCAGTGGGCCACAGCCATCTGTGTCCTTATCATACCAACATGTCTTCTAATTGGCTGATTTGCCTCAAATTAACCGTTTTGGCTAAAAATATTTCTCATTTACCGGTAGTTGCAAACTGTGAAGACCTTGGAAGTTCAGGAGGGTTTTGATATCCATTGCATTATTCAAATGAGTTTAACTTCTGTTTCGCTTTAAATTAACTGCTGCCTTTGTTGAATACAGACACAGATATGTTGCATTTAATGTGTGAATTAAATCATCAGTGTTCTGCTGAGCACCCATAAGATTTTAGGTAGCTTCAGAGTGATGGTATGTTAATGTTTGTTGATTGGACGACATGTTGCACCATGCAAGCAGATTTATGACATTGTTTGCAGAGTAGCCAAATATTTTTTTAGACAACTTTTTATTTGTACTCCTTAATTTTTAAAGATAGACCTTTTAGTTTTGTTTCATTTAAGCTAATTTTTTATTTTTTTTATAAAAAAAAAAAAATAAAACCATCAAAATAATTTGTTAAATCCAGACAATCTCTTTGTGGTTGGACTCAGTACTGCACCAACTTCTTGTTCGCTACAGACCAAAATAAATACTTTTTCAAGATGATGCAGAGTTAATTTTTCACTGTTACCATTAGTTATAAAACTAAGGAAATGGAGTATAAGGAATTTATAATCCAAAATTGTAGAATGTGTTCCTTTAATATGGTACTGCAGTTAAGCTCTCTGTTCTTAAAATTTTTCCTGCATTACTTTTATTTCATCCATCCATTATCTGACACGCTTGTCCCAAGTGGGGTCACGAGGGGTGCTGGTGCCAATCTCCAGCTGTCAATGGGCAAGAGGCGGGGTACACCCTGGACAGGTCACCAGTGCAACACAGAGACAAACAACCATTCACACACACACACACACACACACACACACACACACAATTTAGACGAGTCAATTAACCTAACAGTCATGTTTTTGGACTGTGGGAGGAAGCCAGAGTACCCAGAGAGAACCCACACATGCTCAGGAAGAACATGCAAACTCCTTGCAGAAAGACCCCGGGCCGGAAATTTAACCCAGAACCTTCTTGCTGCAAGGCAGCAGTGCTACTCACTGTGCCACTGAGCAGCCTACTTTTATTTTTATACTTTAAGTATTTTTTAAATGTAAAGGTAGTTTGACACTTTTACTTGAATAAAAAACGTAAGTTGATACTATTCTACAAAAGTGTTTTTTAAATGTCGTATTTATACTTCTTTCTACTAGAAAAAAAAAACATTAATACTTTTAACAACGCCGAATTGCCCAAAAATCTCCACACCTCAGTTATATCTATTGATAGTACATATTTTCCTATCACTCCCCTTTCTATGAATAGAAAAAATAGAATATGAATTTTACTGAAACACTATTTCTTATCTGTTATACATAATCTGTAATACATAAGATGTTTAAAATATTTCCCTATATGCAATATACATATACTTGATATTCAAATTTCAATCTGTGAAAACACATATTTAACTTTTACACAATGTTTTAATCTTTGGGAATACTTGTTGAGTAAAAACTGGTCCAAATCTTAGTTACAGTGTTAAGCTCTAAAGGTAGACTCTGTATTGTTTGAAAAAATGCATTTAGGTTATAATCTGTAAACAATGCATGTTTTCAGAGTGCAGTGTTCAGTCCTCTATGTTAAACAAGTGTCTCATTTTTCTGCATATAAAATAAGATCCCTGCCTGTGTTTATCACAGGTTACTGACTTTCTCCATCTGTTCATCATTTGACGCCCTAATGATTCTAGTCCACGTTGTGACGCTCAGCTGAAGAAACGCAGTAAGATTATTAAGTCCAGCTTTTCAGATTTAGGTGGAATGGTCCAGTCATCTAATTCTGCAGCTCCAAGTCATAAAATGGCATTTTAGTTGCTAAGCTTGCTCATCTAATCTCCTCACGTAATCTCTATCACTAAATATAAACACTCCTCTTCTCACAGATGGGTTGAAAAACCTGAGCTTAATGAGGACTGTCTCAGAGCACCACATTTTAAAGAAAAGCTTAGATCAGCAACTTCTATTTAAGTTAAAAAAAAAGGTAGGGAATAAAAAAAAAAAAATGTAAGATTACATCATTTAGATAATTTAGCACAAAAACACAGATGACGATGTTGAAAATGAGCTAATATGGCTGTGATTTTACCTTGAATTTTGACTTTAGCCAAATCACCATTTAACTTGAAGCATTGCATGTCTGCCAAGTTATTGTGTCACCTATTTGTTCCAAGTCTCTACACTTCTTTATAATCCTTTTCCTATTATAATATGAAAAAAACAATATTTCATAAAAAGTTTTTTCCATAGCAAATACATTTAACTTACATAAGTCAATAATACAGCCAACCTGAAAATATAATTTTCATTTGTTTTATTGTTTTTTTTTTTTACAAAGTAAGTGATTAGCACTCTATCTTCAAGATCTCAATTTTTTTCTAGTTAATCTTGAAGTCTTTATCACTCAGTCACCTTAAAGTGGTCACCTTAACTAACCGAATTAACTTCATCCAACGGGCAAATCTTCTTAGGGCCCACGGTTATTTTCAGCATCAGAATAGGACTGTGTCAGCATGTGGTAGCATTTACAACATAAAAAAAGCCTTTGGATCCTAGTGCTCTTTTTTTGTTTTCCTATTTTTATACCTTTTGTTAAAAGAATAACCTCAATCTTAAAGAGCTGATCTGCTATTCTCAGACGTACCACAGCCACTCAAACATTAAATGTACAATCATGTGGGAAAATATATATTTGAATACATAAAACAAACATTAAACTTAAAACATTTGAGGAAATAGCTGTTAATTTTTGTTTAATGTGTAGTTTAAAAAAAAAAATAATAATATTCCTGCCAAGGAAACATTTGGACATCCCACCTTTATTCCCACTTTAAATGACAAATAAATACAGCCAGGCTTTCAGTGTGAAGATTAAAGGATCTTAGAAGTCTGGTAAGGCATCAAAAAGAGGTCACGGAGAATTCAAAACCTGCCGTTCAACTGTTAGAAAACAATCTACCGGTGTGGGACATTAAACCTGCTCACATAGCCAGGTCCCTATGCAGGTCCACCTTAAAAGTGATCATAATCAAAGGAGTCAACAAAAACCCATGGTAGATTCTTGCTACCTGTACAATTATAAATGTAAATTTCATTGGTGTGGAGAAAGTTTAAAAACATTTGTCGCTTTCGGAAAAAAATGAAGGTCTTACCGAAGTTCGCAAGAAATAGCAGAAATAACAACTCTTCTCTAGTAAAGTCCTTAAGAAAGAACAATAAAAAAAAAAAAAGATTTAGAAACCAAATCATCCCAGGAGAATAACCGCATAACTGCAAAGCATGATGTGTAATAGTGATGTAATAGTGATTTAATGCATCAGGATCTTGCCATATTTCTTCTCTCAAATGCACATGGTGATAGAGAAAAAACACGACATAAATTAAAAGAAGCATCAGCAGAACCTGACACTGCAAGGTGAAGAATACTGATAAATCCACAACAAAGATTTGGGTAACAAAAATTGCTGGAATGGTCTATTCTAGTCAGATGTTGCTGGGGGATTCAAAACAGGCTGTATTATACAAGAAATCCCTCAACCATTTTAGAACTGTTCCTCATCCTGAGGCCAGATACTGGGTGTTGGCCTTAAGCAGTCCTTCACTGGAGCCACAACAGTCAAGAGGGCATGCATATAACAAGGTTAGTCTTGTTCTTTGAGTTCAATTTATAAATGT